CAATGTATCTTTTTCCTTTTAATTAAATTGCACTGTTCGTATGTAATTAAAAATATATCCGTCAAAATTTGCAAACCATTTTTCAATGTTGGTATCCGATTGAGCTAAAATTTTGCAAGCACTTTTAGTTTTTATGACAAAGCAGTTTTTTGACAGATTTAACCTGATGTCACAGACAGGAGTGTCTCCTCATGAAGGAACTGCTTAATGGTTAATAGCAACTGAATGAAATTTAGTATGCGTATAAAAGCTTGTCTGCAAAAAGAGTAATTTAAAACTTATTTGTGTGTTGCATGACCGATTTTCATAATTCCTTTTTTGGTAGTAATAGGATATTCCATTCTAACTTTTTATTAAATAAATCACCAAAGTAAATTTAAATTATAATATAGAAAGTTTTTTTTAAATAAAAAATGGTGAAACAAATGTTCAAATAAACGAAAAACAAACTTTAACGAAGTAATACCTCTTCTCCCTAACTTTTAAAAGCGAAGATTTCATTGAAGTCGTGTTTTTGTTTATTTAAACAGTTTTTTTATGAAGATGTTATTGTGCTGAATGAAATCTCAAATAAATGATTTTAATTTTAATGTTATCGTACAAAATGGCACCGCTAACTGCCACGGAAGAAATGAAACGCTATCGAAATAAGCCAGAATAAACCAGAAAAGTTAGAAGAATCAAGACGTAAAAATTTAGAAGGGATGAAGGTTAAACATAAAAAAATCTGAGCTTAGTGACGAAAAACAAAATGGAAAACAAAATCAACAAAAATCATAAAACGTCAACCATTCATTGGAAGAGACAGAAGCGGTAAAGAATCAAGAAAATAAAAAAAAGATAAAAAAGAGAGCGCGACAAGACATTGAAATATTACAGCAAAATGTTACATAAACTACAAAAATTACTTGAAGAAAACGAAAAAAAATTCAACAAAATGTAAATCTTACGGAGCACTAAATAAAAGATTGTACAGTATTAAACTGAAAATGATTCTAAAGTAAAAAAAAACTAGAATAATAGAAATAGCTCTGGTTATTAAACCTTAAATAAATAAATTAAGCCTTAGAAGCATCATTACAACAAATTTATAAAGATTTGAAATGGACATGCAATCGCATAGATTTAGCATTTTTAGAAATAACTTTTTTGAAATATCAACTTCTATATCATTTATATTACTAAATCCTTGCATTTTGATGAGAATGGAGATGCATTCTCATTCAAATGAATTAATTAACAACAACAAACGACAGAGTTTTCTTTTTATTTAGGGAAATCTACCAATTTCTAGAAATTAAGTCTATTTCCCGTATGTTACATCATAAATTTTAAAATAAAGGGTTGCTTATTTTAATTAAGAGTCCTATTATTATTTTCCGTTTATTAAACTAAATGCAATTATACCCGTATTCCTAACAATGTAAATGGGCCTTAATAATTTCTTGGTTACCAATCATAATCAATTTTGTTACTGTCCATAAAAATAGAGAAGGTTTTTAACTGATAAAAATTTTAGTTTTGGACTTTAACTAATTATATTTACTTATTAATACTTGCCGAAAAATTGTAATTTTATATCATCAAACAATATTTACATTTTATTTTTATTTTAAAATACATAGAAATAAATTGTTTGGTTTTCGTCCTAAGTAACACAGTTGAAAATGTTTGTATTGTAATTTAAAAATTAGCAAACTTTTACAAGTAAAATTTTTTTGGGGGTTTAAATGCCTTCATATGTAATCATATAAAATATTTAACACGGAATAATCAAAGAACTACATTTAATTAAATGAATTTTGTTTAGTAACAAAATTGAACACGGTAATGCCATGCTCGGAAATGAACCTGTTTTATTCCTAAATGGTATATATTTATTGGTAACAAACATTAAATTACTCAAATGTTATAACATATTACTTTTAGCAAATTCTTTAATAAAATCATTTAAAACAAACACATTTTTAAAAATCGTAAAAAATATTGGCCGTACAAAATTTTTGAGAACTTAATGATTTCTTATATTTACACGAACACTACACATTGAAATAATACTAGTTTATGCGGAATTAACGCGGATATTTAACTTTTTAAATACCCGACGTTTCGAACGCTTTACAGCACTCTTGGTCACGGGCGGGACTGAGATGTTCAACGTCAATTATGTCATATATTATACATATTATTATATATTATATTTTTGAGAACTGCTCTAATATACCTCGTGAGTATGTCGTCGAGTGCCGGAATAAACTTTTGTCTAAAGTCGAGTCTTTGTTTAACAATGTCTCGGATTAGGGACAAACTGTATCTGTCCAGTTCAATCCCGAAAAGACACAAGTTTACGTGTTTACCTCTAAAAAGAACCCTATTGTCGTATATTGTCTGTTTAAAGGTACTCCCCTCGTTGCCGCAGCTAGCATCGGGATCCTCGGCGTCGACATATCGAATGACGTTCAGGGCCGTGATCACTTAGAAGGGCAGGCCAAGTCAGCCAACGGTTTGGCTTGATTTGTAGAGCGGGGCAGTATTTCATGCCAGCACACCGCTACAAGTTCGTCCTCACATGGAATAATATTTTCATCTATTATTATAATGGGCCAGGGCACCCCAGTGCCAGCTCCTTCCACTTGATCTCATCTAGCGCATAGCGGTTCGAATCGTCGGCGACTGAGCTCATTCTGACCGGCATAACTCACTGGCGTTTCGAAGAGACGTTGCATAACTTTGGGTATTTAATCGCATCTACCACGGGGAGTACTCAGAGAAATTTTGCGGCGTAATGTAGTTCAAAAATTTTTTTACGACATTCGAAAAAACTTGCGATACTTTACCATCTGGATGATTGGCGGTGAACCACTGTGCGATTTACAAGAAGTTTTCTTCCCTGCACAACGTCCTTGTGGAATCGACTACCAGCAGTGATTTTTCTGAACTGTTACTACTTAGGGACCTTCAAGAAAAGAGCCTACTGTTTTTTTTTTAAAGAACCGAAACGGATCTGCAATTTCTCTGGTGTTGCAGTTGATCATGGGCGGCGGTAGTCACTTATCATCAGGTGAGCCTCATGCTACTTTGCGTTTCATATTTCAAAAAAAAAACGTCTTTGTTTTGTAAAATATTTAAACTTGGTAATATAGACTTGGAGACCTTGTATATTTTCCGAAACCATTTATAGTACCATATACAGTAATATCGTACTCATTTCCTCCCTCCACGAATGAATTACTGACTTGTGGAGTCGAGAAACTAGAGAAACTATTGTCAGAACACGCACTCACACACACATAATATTTTTGGTTACAAATGATTTTAGATGCATATGTGTGGGTACAGGAGCAGTTAGTTTCAATGGCATTAGTCCTGCCATATCACGAAGAACCGACAACCAATGGGGTTTTCTAATGGTAGCCTCATACCAGTAAACATTGTGTAGGGTGACCTCCACAAGATGGAGATATAACCTGTTAAGTGATACAGGAGGTCGACTGATGCAAGTGACCCAGGACCATGTTTTGTGGCATATCTTAGGGAAAGCCTGTGGAGAAAACGAGCTTACAGCTCACCTGATGGTGATTACCTTTTCTTGAAGGGCTCTTTTTGTTGAAGGTCCCTAAGTCGTATCGGTTGGCAGCGGACTTGTGAAGTTTTTTTAATGATGATACCTTTTTAGAACCATAGTGAGGAATCGTACCGAAATATAAACTCAGTTTTTAATCCCCACTTCAAAGTGAGGTACAAAACCAATTATCGTAGGTAATGGTGGTTTTCTTTTGATTATGAGATCGTAATATATCATATTTAATAAAGTTATAGCCTATAAACTTGACGGCCTTAATGTGTCACAGCTGGGCTTTTACTCTTCTCTCTCTATCTCTCTCTCTCTCTCTCTCTCACTCTCTTATTTCTGAGACGATTATGGAGTAGGGAGTACAGCCGCCGCGCTGCTTCAATGCGTGTTAACAAACTCCACATGTAATCGAAATATTTTTGAAGTGAAACTTCTTAATTGACGTAGTGGAGATATTTAGTATGGTAATAAAAATGTCACGTTTTTTGAACGTTTCTTTGTAATGTTTTTTGTAACGTTTCACCGCCGGGGTTGCATGATTAATAAAATGAAAGAAGAATGATATGTCGTAAAAAAGTTTCACTTCTTACGTGTGTACACAATTAGACGCACAATTTTTTATTCCTCAGATACTGTTTACCTAACGATGTTTTCCTTCACCGCCGAGCAAGTAAATATATAAAATTATTTTTTTTATTTGTTCGTATTTTATTATGCGCTGCCTTACCGTTCATCAGATTGCGGTAAAACTTTTTCAATATATTACTTGCATTTCCACGAAGGTTATAGGCATAATTATACCCGGCAGGTGGCGCTATTGTAAAATCCAGATATCACTCGTGCGAATCCAGGGGATCGATAGTTGGATATTTATTTAATAGAATAAGAATGACAAACGAGCACACAGTCCACCTGATGGTAAGTGGATACTGTGGCCCATAGACATCTACATTTATCCTCAATTAAAAATCAAATGCAGATGCGTTGTCATCCCTGAGGACTAAGATGAAATGCCTCGTTTCTAGTAAAAAAAAGGTGTCCGGATCTCTACACTCACCATACGAAACAAAGCAGTATTAAGCTGCTATTTTACGCTGGTATTCTGTGGGAGGGTATTCCTTCCTCGGTTGAGCCGAACCATTCTTGCTAAAACCATAATATAGCTGCAGATTGGTTCCCCACCACGTATAATTTACTCTATAATTTACTTCCGCAATAATCCATTTAACCAGATTACTTAAAATTGCCTCACTAGATCCTTAGTTCCTGTGTATTATAATTCCGCGATTTAAATTATAAACAAAATAGCTCATCTTAAACAATTTATTTTATAAACAATAGTTAAATAACGTTATTAACGTAACTTTCACGCTAATGAATATTACAATAAAACACGCGTTCATTAACAAACGCCTCGACTATATAATCAAGAATAATCTAGATCTAAATAGGTTTTGTCTCTTCCCACGCATTCTCCGCACAAGGTGTCCATATAAGAATGCGGCACTAAGATCACAGTCTCGTTGTACCTCACGTAAACTGTCACACCAGTCAACAATGACGATATCTTGACTCCATCTCCAATTGTTCGTATTCTGGAAAAAGAAGTATTTAATTAAAGATAGGAAGTAACAACGGATGAAATATAATAAAAGGAATGAAAGAGAGAAAGAAAAAGGAAGGAGATACAATGGAAGAAAGAAATAATGAACGTACAATAGCAAGCTGGATTGAAAGTGAAAAAAGAAATTCTAAACTACAAAACCCAAACCTGGAAGAATATTAAATCTAAGCATTATTTAATATTAAAGGATTATTAAGCTCTTAGCCTCTCTTATTGTAGGAAGAATTTAATATAAGCGCCAAGTCTAGCAGGTGAATTGTCAGCAGCTTTGAGCTGCTCCTTTTCGATGGCCTGATACTTTGCGTCTGTTGTAAACGATTTTTTACGTAGTAGAACCACGTTGCAGCTATATTACAGTTGTAGCACGATTGGGTCGGTTCCGCCGGGGTAGGACCTCGCTCATACGTAATACCAGCGTAAAATAGCAGCTTAATACTGCTGTGTTTCTTATGGTGAGTGTTTTTTATAGAATAAGTGTGCAAAACCATCAAGTGGAATGTTAGCTACATTCCACTTGATGGTAAATGGATAATCAGATGTGCTATGTGCTAGTTTTTCACGCTTATTCTATAAAAAAAACGAGATGTTTATACCGTCATCCGTCGGCAGCAATGACATCTTTATGCCAATTTTCATAGATGCTTTTATACGAGACGTATAAGGAGAAGGATTTTTTACACATACATCATCCACTGCTAAACATATGTCTCCCGCTTAATTGTCTAAGAGGCAACCGCTGTATGTTAGTATTATGTATGAGTTATTAGAACGATGCTGTTGCCAACTCTGTTTTCAGTTTTTTTTTTGTTGCCTCTTACGACAGTCGCAAGATAATAATAAGTGGTAGTAAATAAGGAATGGAATGAAATTGAGTCCAATGGAGTGGAATATGATGGACAGGAATAGAATGGAATGCGGTGGAATGAAATAGAATGGAAGGGAACGGAATAGAATGGAACGGAACGGAATGGTAGGGATTGGAACGGAATGGAATGGAACGGAACGGTATGGAATGGAACTGAATTGAATGGAATGGAATAGAAACATAATATAATAACTTTTAATAAATATAGATTTTTATAACAAAATACTTATTGAAAGTAATTTTTTATTTACCACTGGTTAAGCAGTCTATTCTGACAAAAATCGGCAAGAAACCAAAGACGTATACAAAATTTTAAGATTTTATCATACGTTTAAGTACATTTATTTATATGAATTATAATAGAACCAGTATGGTAGTGATCACCTCATTCCCTAGTATGAATACCATATTAAATTATTGCTTAAATAATTACCTAAAGTATGGAACATCTGTTGATATGTCCGCCGAGCCACCTCTAACGACGATGCTGTTTTCTCCAGCGTGGACTTTCACGCCACCATTTTGTTGACGTAATACGGCAAAGCTGTAAAATATAATTAGATTGTAATTGTATTAAGGTACGTAATTTTATCATCTTCGCGTTAAGTATTTTGTAGAGATTTTATTGCATGTTTTTTTTTAAAGAAATGGAGTCAAAGAGGTATACAGATCACCTAATGGTAAGCGACTTGAATATAATAATTATAATAAATTTATTACAAGAAATTCTCATTGAGTCTTTTTTCATCTTGACTATTGGTTCGCAAAAAAAACCTCTGTCCTGGGAAGAACCGGCAAGAAACCCAGTGTTGCCTTTTTCCGCAATAATATATTACAATATAAAACATAATATGCTAATTAATATTACAATATAAAAAATAATGGTAGCCGATTTCATAAATACACACACACAAACATACACACACATATATTTATTATTATTATTTTCTATATGTATATTAGTATGTACTAACAATTACATGTCAAATTCTCCCAAGGTTGACTGGTAGAGAATACCATAGCCTTATGGTACAATGTACAATGGGCGGACTTAATGCCTTATGGCATAAGGCATTAAGTCGGCCCATTGTAGACCTAAGATTAGGGTGTATAACACACTAAACATTAAATAAATATATAAAAGGTCACAGAATTAGACACAGAAGAGCCCTGGTAGCTCAGATGGTTAGCGCTCGCTGTAAATTTCACAGTACGCGAGCTAACTGGGTTTGATCCCCCGCCGGCACCAATGAAATTGTTAATTGCAATTTTAAGTGCTGATTTACCATATGCTCGGCGGTAAAGGAAAACATGTGAGGAAACCTGCATGTCAGAGAAATAAGAAAAAAAATATTTCGAAGACATGTGAAGTTCGCCCACACGCATTGGGGCAGCGCGGCGGACAATTTCTTGCCCTAAAACCCTCACAGATATGAGCGGAGGCCTGTGCCCAGCAGTGGGACGTATACAGGCTGGTGGCAGGTGATGATAAACAGTGTCAAAGGTGACAAAAAATCTGCGTGTCAAGCTAGGCGATTGCGACAAACCTTCCAAACCATGGACGGAGTCCGTTTAAACTTGGCAAAATTATTAGCAAAATGTACTATGGGTGATGCCTTCGGCCAGTTATGTAATATTTAGAAGTTGATTTGTAAAAGAAGTATAAGAAATATATAGACCTGGAAAACTCAGAACAATCAGCCAAGGCTATGGCGTCAGTTTGCTGGAGTGGCGGCAGTGGTTCGGTTGTGCCGAATAGTGTTTCCACCGTTGACTCCTGGACACGACATTCTCCTGGAAAACGGAATATTTTTCAAAATTCTAGCATCTAGAAATCTGACAGCATTTTTGGTATTGTCCGTTTATTACTTTTTCTTTGTTTCTTTTTTTAATACAGCAAAAAACCACTAAGTTCTAACTGATTGGACCGCCTCGTTAGTCTAGTAGCCATTAGCGTAATTGCTGATGATGTGGTCATGTTATTGAGTTTATTAACTTCCCCCTAAGAAAATTAAAATACGACAAACATTTTAAACGACATTTTAAATACGACAACGTTTTTATAGCCATTGCTAGATAACCGTATATATAATCATCGGACCAACGGAGCAGCATCAAAGGTGCAATATATCGTCATCATCATCATCGTGATAACAGGCTTCACAAGTCCACTGCTAAACATAGCCCTCCCCGGTACACCTGCATTCATTGTATTACCACGTAGTAACTCGTTCTAGTGGGGAGGGGTGGGATCTACAGTTCACCTGTAAATATATATTGTACTACAATCGCAAAAATTTCATTGAAAGCGACTTATGACATTGGACTAATGCTGAAGTTAATGGAAGAATATATTGCAATACAAAACCCTTTATTGAACACTAAGAAAACAAATAACTAGAAACAAACAAAAAGAAAAACAAAAAGCGGTCTTATTGCTATGCAGCAATTTCTTCTAGAAAACCTAAACAGGAAACAAAAACATGTAATAAGTTAATTAATGAGTATAATCTATTATAAATAATATTATAATATATGTACATATATATAAACACTCACGTCTGTTACCCAGAGGGGTAGGCAGAGACTACGGACTTCTATTTGACACGATGCTGACATACCTCTTTCGCCACCTTTACATCCATATATTTATGCATACAGGCTCGTCGGTTAAGGGTACTTCTAACGTGGCCCATTTTCAAAATATCGCCAATTTGGTCGATAAACTTTTTTCTAGGGCGTCCTTTCCCGACTCGGCCGTTCACATCTGCCATATAAATTTGCTTTGTCACTCTTTCCTCATTCATTCTTTCTACATGACCAAACCACCGAAGCATTCCTTTCTTAATCCTGGTCACAACATCATCTTGCATACCACATTTATCTCTTATCACGCAATTTCTCACTCTGTCATTCAAATAAACCCTAGCATATTCCTTAAAGACCGCATTTCTAAAGAATTTATTCTACTTTCGTGCTTCTTCTGCCACACCCAGCTTTCACTACCATACATTAAAGTAGGGACTAACACAGCATTATGAATTACCATACGTGCCTTTTTGACACATTCTGGATCATCATAATAGAGTGTAGTGCCCCATTCACTCTATTCCCTGCATTTACTCGTCGTTCTATATCCCTATCATATCTACCATCCCTGCTAAATACACATCCCAAATACACAAACTCATCCACTTGCTCAATTAACTCTCCTTCTATTCTTATTTCACATACCATTTTGCGTTCTTCTCTTTCAAAAACCATCACTTTCGTCTTACTTTCGTTCACTTTCATTCCCCTTTCTTTTAATTCACAGTTCATTAATGTAACCATCATTTGCAACTCAGCCACCGATGACGCAAATATGACTTGATCATCGGCGTACAGAAGGCATTTGACGGTTAACTCGCCCATTCTTAACCCACATTCTTCATCTTTAAAAGTTTGCAAACACCTGTAAATAATATTGTAATCCAAAATATACTGAACTTAAAAAGTAAGATAAAATGTTATGATATGGAGATATTCACGTGTACTTGTTTCACAAACGTTTATTTTAATTTATTAAAATATTAACTCAAAAAATCTGACCTATTTCGCCTCACGGCATAGTCATATATATCATAAATTAATTTATAACAGTATTCAACGTCATGCGTGGATACTGTGGCTCATAAAGATCTACATCAATCCTAGGTAACAAATCAAAATGCAGATGTATTGTCACCCGAGAGGACTAAGATGGAATGCCTCGTTTCCATTAAAAAGGGTCCCCAGTTCTCCCCAAAACGTATGAAATACAGCAGCAATATGCTGCTATTTTACGCTGGTATTCTGTGAGAGTTTGGCACTTCCCCCAGTCGAGCCGACTTATTCATGCTACAACTATAATATAACTGCAACATGGCCCTATCACGTATAAAATCATGATTACTCACGGTATAGACCATACTTCGTCATGATTTGCATCGTCGTGAAGCTGTCCAGCATCCATCCCAAGTTCTCAGATTTGAATTTCACTTCGCTTCCATTTTTCGCTTTCACATGTATCAAACCATTTTTCTCCTGGAATAAAATCATATATATATATATATATATATATATATATATATATATATATATATATATATATATATATATATATATATATATATATATATATATATAAATTTTAATTTGTGTACATTAAATCATTTTTACATATCGTAAGGGATCTTTCAGACAGAAGGCGTTCAGGCGTTCAAGCGTTCCGCGTTTGCGTTCTGCGTTCTTTGTGTTGTATTACGTTACATAGACATACCCAGACAGCAGGCATTCCGACCGCGTCGGTCAACCAGAACGTAGGCGTGCGTGATTGGTCCGCAACTGAACCTTCGAACGCAAAACGGGAACGCGGAACGCTTGAACGCGTGACCGCTTCCTGTCTGATAGAACCCTAAAAGAGCCGTAGCATTTAAAAGTGATAGTGTATTGACGGTGTAACAATATCAACCATATCATATCATCCCGTGGGTGACGTAAGAGGCGACAGAGGGAAAAAATCGGGAGATCGGGCAGCAGCGTCTTCCTGATAACTACAAACACAAAGGGATTTGTAGCGCATGCATCGATTTGCATGTTGTAGGCTCTTGTACCACACTTGATACCGCTATTAGAGCGGCTCAGCTTGTGCTCAGCTCATACTCGGCTTCTCTAGCGTCTTCGATCAACAGTTGGTATTGCTGATCGAAGTCTAGCGTACTTTATGAAAATCCATCAACCCATTACGTTCCGTGGACATCGTAAGCAACTATGGAAAATTCTAGTTAATTCTTATAGACTCTAATATTATATGGAGTGTATTATCTCATTAACGTCAGACACAAAATACCCAGATCAGTGACGGTAAGCAGCATCAAAGGTGCTGTCATCTAGTACACCGATCGTCTATCTACAACGGGAGAGGGTCAGCTTTTATGGGCTGAAGAAGAAGAAGTTGATTTAAAAAGTAACGGCTCCATCTATTGGGCACAGAACTCCCATTACCGATAAGGTTTTCCAACATTTAATAACAAAAATTAATAACCATTTACCAAGAATGTCTTACGCATAAATTAAAAAAAAAACTTTTTAAAAAAACCGTATACTAATAAATAGTTAAAATGAAATATATCGTGACGATCCATTGTACAACATTATAGGTAACCTGTAATACTTATGTATGCATATGTATATATGTATGAATGGATGTATGTATATGTGTAAGTGTACACGCAACATTTATCCACATATGAAAAATGCCCTTGTCCTTTAAATTACTGATTAATGTTATATTAAAACTATTGATTTGTGCTATTAAATATTTATTTAAATAATATTTATTTAAATAAATATTTATTTATTAAGCTATTTATTTAATTTTTATCATGTTAAAAAAAGAATGGAAAAGTATTTCTGCTGTATTATCACATGTCCTCGAAATAGTTTTGTTTTTATTTTCTTTATCATGCAGGTTTCCTAACAATATTTTGTTACTCCGCTAAGCACGTCATAAATCGATCAGGAATGAAAATTGTATTTGTCTGTCCCATTATCACCATTATCCACTGATCCACCACCACTATCTACTGATCTACCACCACTGTCCACTGACCCACCACCACTATCTACTGATCTACCACCACTGTCCACTGATCCACCACCACTATCTACTGATCTACCACCACTGTCCACTGATCCACCACCACTATTTACTGATCTACCACCAGTGTCCACTGATCTACCACCAATATCCACTGGTCTCACACACGGCTCACCGGTCAAATCCTAGGTAAAGCAAGAAAAATGATTCGGAGGTTGCGGTAAGACCAATAAATAATTAAATAAATTTATAAAGGTGTACAATTTTCTGTTGTGAACTTGCTAGACGTGGTTTGAGTTAGGCTTTCAGTTTACTACCACAGTTTGTACAAGTACATTAACGCAATGGTAATGATTTTTTTAATGAGTGTTTATAATCTCTAATTTTTTTTCTTATTTTGGAATATTTATTATTAATACACACAATCTAAGAAACGAACACAAACTTGAGCTCGCTCATAAAAGAAATGGAAGAAAAACAATTTTATACGAAGGAGTGCAGCTATACAATAACTTGTCAAAAAAAGAATGTAACAATGTTAATATGTTTCAAAATAAGTTAAAAACATGTTTACACTATTCTCTCTTTTAAAAATTAGTTATAAATTAAGCACCATACATTAATAAGCATAGAGGCAAAGTCTGAATTTTTTATATATAATTTACTGTGTACTTATTATTAAGTGAAACTGTGTTTCTTACGAGAAATAAATTCTTTAAACCTAAAATCTTTTTAATAATACACGAATCCGTGGTAATAGTTCTCAACCCGTAAGTATTTTTTAACAATAAGTGACAGTATAAAGAACACAGGTACCTGCGGGTCCTAAACTAAGCGCAGCTTGTATCTCAGGACCCTGGCATGGATACAAAACGGTTTGAATAAAACTATTATTTACGGATTTTATCGCGTTTAATTACTTTAATTTATTTTTATTATTATCCCGACGTTTCGGGTGCTTTACAGCGCCCATGGTCACGGGGGGGGACTGAGATGTTTGACGTCCCAATGTCATAGTTAGTCCGGCTACCTTAACTATGACATTGGGACGTCAAAAATCTCAGTCCCCCCCCCCGTGACCATGGGCGCTGTAAAGCACCCGAAACGTCGGGATAATAATAAAAATAAATTAAAGTAATTAAACGCGATAAAATCCGTAAATAATAGTTTTATTCAATGTGTAGTGTTCGCGTAAATTTAAGAAATCATTATATAAAACGGTTTGTCACTGGACCTCATTTACATCGAGATTGTGTTAATATTACGTGCTTTTCATCGGCCTTTAAAAGTAATGCTCCTAGTACAAAAACTAAGGAAGTATTGTTTTACTACATAAATAAATTTAAAATAAATAATGGCGCCCGCAAGAGATGATTCCGCAATAGTTGGAATAGGAATGATTACGTCCGGGTCTGGTTTTGTGGTGTGTGTGTGTGTGTGTGTGTGTGTGTGTGTGTGTGTGTGTGTGTGTGTGTGTGTGTGTGTGTGTGTGTGTGTGTGTGTGTGTCTGTGGTATCTTATGTGCTATTTAATTAGCTCTTCAGTGTCATATGAAAAAGTGTACAGCATGTTCTTTAATAGGATTTTACATGAGGAAAGTGGCTGGTCTTTAAGGTCAATTATTTTCAATATTTTGTTGTAGATGAAAGGATGTGAGAAGGTGGGGCAAGGTTTGGCCAGGTTTAACTTTACGATTGGAACGGGGATTCTAAAAGTACGTTAGCTTCTTAATTCATTGTAGTCCGGGCGACATCTTACGGTTTTGTGCACTTTGATAGTGACACAAATAAACAGCTGTCGCACCCATAGTACTTTAAGTACGGAAGTATTTCTTTTCTCCTTATTTTTTTAATGAAGACTTTACCCCCACTCTAGGATTTTCTCCTGTATGGTGGATGTAGTTTACAAACATAAATTCCACAAGTACAAATATCCAGACCCGGAACAATTACTTGTTGGCCGTACAAACACTTGTTCCATACGGGAGTCGAACCCGTGGTCCCCAGTACTGTAACTCGGTGCTAAGCCACTGCGTTACGAGGCCGTTAATTTGATTTGAAACAATATTCACAATGGATGGATAGATGGATTCGCTCAGGTCAGCGGTTTTCTGCATGGGCTGAAATTGAATCCGGTGTGGCGCAAGGCGGAATACTTTCTCCTATTAGTTTTCCTTATTTATAAATTCTATCTCCTCAGTTTTAGATTGTTCGTACCATCTGTATGCGGATGATCTCCAGCTTTATGTACAGTCAAGCTTAAATAATCTTAACTTTGTAATACACAAACTAAATGATAACCTGGAAGCCATAAGAGAATGGTCATGTAAATATGGCGTTTCTGTTAATCCTGCCAAATGCAAAGTTATAATATTAGGAAGCTCGCAATTATTGGCTAAGGTTGATTATGGAAATCTCTCTCCTTTAATTTATAATGGAAGTTTGATTCCATACTGTGATTCCATAAAAAAATCTTGGCCTGTACATGGATAAAACTATGACCTGGAAATTACAGATCTCTGAAGTTAGTCGTAAAGTTGTTGCTACCTTGCGTTCCCTTTATCGTCTTAAATATTTCCTACCTTTCAAAACCAAACTTACGCTGGTTCATTCCCTTATTCTATTATCGACTATGCCGATGTATGTTACCCAGATCTATCAGAAAATCTTCTAAACAAGTTGGAGCGCCTTCTTAATAATTCCATAAGATTTATTTTTGGTTTACGTAAGTATGACCACATATCATCCTATCGTTCAAAGCTTAAATGGCTACCTATACGTCAAAGGCGATGCTCTAGAATTTTACTTGTACTTTATTCAATTTTAAACGATCCAAGGTCGCCTTCTTATCTTAAGGATAATTTTCATTTTTTTCATCCGATCGACGGTCGAACATCCCGACAGTCAAACCGTCTGAGGTTAAGGTTTCCACAGCATAAGTCAAATTTTTTTAGGTCGTCTTTTACGATACAAGCCATACAACTTTGGAACACCCTCCCCAACGATATTAAGAATGCCACAAATAAAAAAGTCTTCAAAGTTCTTCTCCTAGAACATTACCTGAAGGAAACTACTAATTAACATTATTTTCCTTAATTTTTGTCTTTCTTTTCTTCTTTTTTTACTTCAGATATTTATTTCATTATATATTATTCAAACATCATATTATATCATTTGTATATCTATTTACGAAGTTTATAAGCATGTATATATATATATATATATATATATATATATATATATGTATGTATTATTGTATGTATATATTATAATGTAATTATTTACGTATAATGGTCGCACCTGCCAACAATTGTCCTTGACACCCAGGGTTGACTGGCAGAGAATGCCACATGGCATTAAGTCCGCCCTATGTACCCCTTTAGCTTAAGGTGTTACGTTTAAGTTTTTAAATAAATAAATAAATAAATACATGGTAGAACATACCTTCATTTCAGCAACAGCATTCACAGAGTCCCTATCGTACGTTCCCGAAAATAGATCTTTTGCCGTATCCAGAACCCGCTTTGGTAACACGTGGCGCACGAGATCAATTCCTTGTTTCTAGAAAAAGTAAAAAATTAGATTTTGTGCTTAAATCCAAACGATTAAAGTTACAACATCTTCGTTTAAGTGCCTATTTCTAATCCATTCTATCCCATAAGTGTCGTAAGAGGTGACTATGGGATTAATATATCTATTTCTCAAAAAAAAAATTCTCTAAGGGATTCCTTCGGATCTATCTTATAAATTGATTGTATGACACGTTTATGTAAAATCAAGATAGTTTCAATGAAAGTCGTATTACCCCGTAGCAAGATTACATATGACTTAATGCTATGAAAATAACTAAAATAATCAAATCTAGCTCTTACGACACATGTAAGGCCTCTAAACTTTGTGTCAAAACACCTTATGTCTACCAGTATGTTGAGAGTAAAACTATCTTTGTGCTCAGCGCAAAATATCCAGAACAGCAAAGGAGCATGAGAGAAGCAATATGTACATGTAATATTTATGCGTGGTAGAGGCACGCTGCAGCTATATACTCGTACTCGTAATGGTTGTAGCACGAAAGGGTCGGCTGTCCGGAGAAGGACCACGCTCTGACAGAATACCAGCGTAAAATAGCATCTTGATGCTGCTGTGTTTCGTATGGTAAGTGTATACTACTGGGGAGCCGTTTTACTGGAATCGAGGAATTCCACTTTAGTCCTTAGGGGTGACAACGCATATGCATTTTGATTCTTAATCGAGGTTAAATGTAGATGTCTTTGGGCCACAGCATCCAATTACCAGCAGGTGGACTATGTGCTCGTTTGTAACTCTACTTCTATAAAAATATATAAATTAACTGCAAGATGATGTTGTGACCAGGATTAAGAAAGGAATGCTTCGGTGGTTTGGTCATGTAGAAAGAATGAATGAGGAAAGAGTGACAAAGCAAATTTATATGGCAGATGTGAATGGCTGAGTCGGGAAGGGACGCCCTAGAAAAAAAATTATAGACCAAATTGGCGATATTTTGAAAAGGGGCCACGTTAGAAGTACCCTTAACCGACGAGCATGTATGCGTAGATATATGGATGTAAAGGTGGCGAAAGAGGTATGTCAGGATCGTGCCAAATGGAAGTCCGTAGTCTCTGCCTACCCCTCTGGGTGACAGGCGTGAGTGTTTATGTATGTATGTATGTAAATTAACTTCATATTGCCTTATTTTGAGTCAAAATGCACATCGTGCAACTGTGGTGTATATTTCCCATTTTAACAAGATTAGTTGTTGTGATAAATGATAAAAGTAGTGGAAGGTGTACGAAAAGTATGCAAATTATTAAAGGAGGGAAAATGGTGCTCTTTGAATAAGGAAACAAATCATAAATTTTTTATACCGATCTCAAGATTTTTTTTTACTTTATACAATTTCTTAATATATAATTTTTAAACTATTTGAGTTTAAAAGGGATTCACGAGAGGCATTATCTATTGATATACTTTCTACTTAAAATTAAAATTAAAAAAAAACTTACTCCCTCTATTTGGAACTCAACGTTTCTTTCCAAGGCTCCGTATACGTTCTTCGGTGAGCCCTTATATCGTATTTTGAGCTTATTCTCTGCTCTCTCGTAGCAAGTGCGGTACTCCTTGGAGAAGTCCAAAAGAAGAATTATTTGGCCTTGATACGCTGATGGAAAGGAATACAAATCTTGGTCGACTGATGTCTGCGTTGACACTTCTTGTAGGTAGCAAAGCTGAAAGAATAACACTCTCGTCGTAAAGGATAGATAATGGCAAGATGCTGGATGTGGCTCATAAGAATAGAATTATATATATATATATATATATATATATATATATATATATATAATAAACATGATGAACTGGATGACCTTTTTTACCGACAGGACAAGAATAGGGTGTAACATGTGAACCGAGTAGAAGCCTATGGCACTAATATTATATAAAAAATAAATACAAAATTTTAACTAAATAAATAAATACATTAAATCTATCAAAATTCAAATCATATACACCCTAGCCTGTGACCTTGCGAAGTTACAAGGTAAAGATGCCGACAAAATTTTCTGTTTTGATCGTAAAGTAGGGTGATATGATTTGAATTTCTATAGATTTTAATTTATTTATTTATTTAATTCAATTTATTTTTCGTAAATTGTCAGTGCCATATGCTTCTACTCCATCCACATGTTACATCCTATTTTTTCCCAAACGGTAAAAAAAGGTCATCCGGTATATACATACAAATTAAGTGACATATACGCTGAATTAACAGAATATTGGTGAAAGGTCTACGTTCGCTTTG